AAATAAAAACCTACTTTTATTCCATATTTGGGGTATGAGAGGAGGTTTCCATGGACTATTTCAGCCAAAAGAGAAAAATATAATGGGAATATGGGAAATCAGACTAGTCATTCTTCAATTCTGAAGAGCTGGAATGTTTGGGTAACAGCAGAAAGGAATAGCCCATTTGAAAGTGATGTCACACAGATGTCTAGATCTTTCAGGGAGGGCTACTTCAGAGCAGCCCCGCAGCTGGTAATAGCCAACTTCAGGGAGTTGGCAGTGAGCTTACAGGTTGAGATAGAACCCCCAAAGAACTAAAGAAAGGGGGTCTGATTTAATTTCACTTTTGTGGTTTTACTTTTATACAATGGGTTCTTCATTCACTATCATTTACTCATCCACTCAGCAAGCATTCAGTGAAGCTGGCTCTGTGCCAGGCACCATCCTAGCTGCTGGGGCTCCCCAGCAATGATGGTGACATGGCACTTCCCTCATGTGGGGTACTTCTGGGGCATTTCTCTTCTTTCCGTAGTGAGTTGCCCTGCCAGGAGGAACCCTTCATCCCACAGACGAGATATTAAACCTCTTTCCCTCCAATTAATATCAGTGTTAGTCTCTCTCCTTTTTGTTCTGCCCACAGAGGTCTCTTTAGAGGTGGTCACAGCTAGAGAAGATGGACTTTTGGGATCGAATGGGAAACTTATTTTATTTCTTCCTTATACTTGGCAAGGACTCTTATTTTTTAACTAATAAGGCAGAAGACATCCATAAGAAAAGAAAAATAATAACTTGCATTGCCAGCGTTGCTTAGTTACCTTGTCAACATTCCCTTCCAGCCTGACTGAATTCTCTCTGCATATTTTTATAGTGCACATCATGTTTTATTGCTATAATTGATCTATTAAGCAGAAAATATGGAGAACACATGGAACTCCTGTCAATTTTATGCTGTTTATTTGGACTTCCATTTTTCTCTTTCCACAAGACCTCCTTCCTTATCATCTTTTTTCATTCCTAACCTACACAATACTGTAAAGGAATCACATCACTATTTATATTGGTGCATTTAACTTTGTAGCTTAAAAAGCAAAAGCCAACAAACTAACCTCAGAACTAGACATAAAACTGTGGGCTTTTCAAAGTTAAGGTCCAAGTTTCCAGTAGCTCTGTATCTTGTGCACCTTAGTCCCATGTATGGCACACAAAAGGCTTTTAGTAAATGCTTATTGGTTAAAAGAGCTATTGGCTACAAATATTTATTGAGAACCAGCATCATAGTGGGCGCTATTCATAACCTAGAATTTGCTTATAGTTTCTATGCAGGGGGCAAAATTTAGGACTTGTTTTCTTTCTGGAGACATCAAGGGCAGAGAATACAATTAGCACTACATTTAATTCAGTCAAAGAAGCTTTTCTGCGCGCGGCTGCAGTGGCAGTATCAGCAGCCACATTCCATCTGGTATTTATGGAAGGTATTCACTGGGAACCTCCTAGCTTCTTGGTGCCATGCTGTCCAAATCAATCGAGATCAAAAGACCCGGTCTTTGTCACCATCTGTCAAGGCCGTTGTATTCAAAACAGTGAGTCCCTCCTCATTCTCTTTCTCAAACACACATATGCAAACTCATCTGAAGACTATGTTCATGATGCCAACTGTGGACAAAAGAACAAATGGAAATTTATTTTATCATTCCTTTACCCAGGCAGTCAAACAGCCCTCCAATCCAGTTTTCCTCAAAGCATATACTTCTCCTGAGATTTTATTAAATTACAGACATACATCTAAGTCTGGGAGGAGGCCCGGAAGTCTACATTTCTAGTAAGTTCTCTTAGGTCAGGCCTTAATAGTTAAAGCATCACCCATGGACATAGACTTGGCACTGAGCTTGTTAGAAATATAGACTCTTTGATCTCAGACCTACTGGATTAGAACCTGGGTTTTAACAAGATCCCACATTAAATTGGAGAAACATTGCTCTAACCACTTAATATGTCTACAATATAAATCATAGGCAGGGGTCCCAATAACGCTCTGGGTTGGAAAATAAGGCCAGCTAGATTTTCTGTGTCCTCTTTTCATTTTAAAACTCTCAAGTACCCGCCTCAGTATAGCGTCTATCACTTCGATAAAGACACAGATAGATGCCTCTTTGTTTAGTCATTCAGTTGCATGATGAATTTGTTATTATTAATCCTGGGTTTCCACTGGCCCAGCAACCAACCTTATCCCCTCTCCAGAGAACTTCATTGTAGACAAAAATTGACCAAAAGAGACATCCTCATGTCTGAGCCTGTCAGAAAGATAACACATTTGGAACAAGCACTAGGAGATCAAAGTTTCCTCACCTGTGAAATGGAGGTAATAGTGAGTACCAGCCTGGGCAGGTCTTTGGGACAAGGAGGGCTTGATATGATTGTCCTGTCTCATTCACACGCTCTCATCAGAGGTGCCAGAGGGCCTGGCAGTGGTGTGGAAGAAGGTTTACATGTTAGTACCCATGCAAGCAGACATTCCAGGGTGCATTTAGTGATACCAAGGGTCATGTAAAGAGAGGAGAGAGCTCTGAAGACCCTGGAATTGATCGTACACTCATTTTCAGAATAACACCAAGTCTTATTTGCTGCAGACATGAGGGGGTGGCTTTTGGGTTGTTGCTGCTTTACTGTCAGCAATTAAGCATTTGTGATACAGAAGGACTATTGCCTCTTTGAAAAGGAAAATCAAACAAACAAAAACAAGGCTCATCATCCTTCCTCTATCATTCCAGTCTCTAACTCATATTTTTATTTTGAAAATGCTGCTTTACGATCCTCAGTTTTCTTAAGCTTCTTTTCAGGTAGGCTGAGCCTTTGGGAAGGTGTAGTTTTGAAGAAGAGATTACCCTTTGTTTTTCTAGAATTTCAGAGTTTGTGTGGGGATATCCTTCCTGGTGATACCCCAAACTACTCCAGAGTGGGACCTCACAGTCCCAGGCAGAGAATGTCACGTGACCTTCTTTCCCACGGGGGTCTTTTTATGGGGTATGTTTATGCTCTTTGCCATGTGAAGAGGGGGAAAAACACCTCATCATATGGAATTTCAGTGAAAACATAATATGAAGAGGGTGGCAATAAGGGGGAAGAAGTGAGCACAGAGACTGTAGGTAGTGGCCAGGGAAGGCATTTAGCTGAACCGTCAGCAGTTCTGAACAAACAGCAGAGCCTGTGAGAGGGAATCTGAATGTCTCAGTTGTTTTGGTTGTGAGTTTTGTTTTCCCTGAATAACTAAGGTTGAATATATCACCAAGGCATGTTTGAGCATAGAATGATAGAAGCCCTTCTAGTTAGGGAAAGAGTGATTCTGTCCACTTTAACTTGTTTAATTCCAAGTCCAAATTCGATGATGGGACCCCTGAATCTGGTCACAGCCCTTGGCCCATTTTTCTAGGACTTGACCCATGAGTGGAGCAGATCAGTTTATCTCCTCTCTGTTTCTATGCCACAGAACACAGTCTTTACCTCCAGCCAGTTTATACTTGTGATCTTTGGGGAGTATGTAGATGGAAGCGCTGGGTAAAGGAGCTTCATGAACCAGCAGGAAAGATAGGTTGAAGGGCATCCTTTTTTAGAATATAAGGCCATGTGGAAAGAGCATTGGCTAGGGGTCAAGGAACTGGATTTCAGTCCTAACCATGCCCTCTATTAGCTGTGGGACCTTGTTAGTCAAGTAATTCTAACTCTTGGAGACCTACAGATAATGATATCTACTGCAAATCTACTATACCTACTATAAATCTATTATAAAACTCGTTAGAATTTTGTAGGTGTCAAATGAGATAACAGAGAAGAGAGCATTGAAGATTTCAAAGCTGTACTGTCCAATGTGGTAGCCACAAGCCATATATAGCTATTTGAATTTAATTAAAATGAGATAAAAAGAAAAATTCAGTTCTTCAGTCACATTAGTCACATTTCAAGTGCTTAATAGCCATATGTGGCTTGTGGGTACTATATTGGACAGCAGAGATATGGAACATTTGCATTATCACAGAACATTTTATCTGACAGCTCTTCCTTGAAGTACTCTCTAGGTGTGATATTAAGGACATAAAGGATGACAGATTTTAGGGGTAATAAATAATGTCGTAGTAAAGGATTCTTGGAAGGAAACAAGCACACTCAAGTTAGCTGAAGTAAAACAAGGGATTTACAACATTTGATTGATTCAGGAATAACTTATGGATCCCAAGGGCTGGAATCATAGCTAGGTTTTAAATGGACTTGGAAGCAGTTCCTAGGACATTATCAGGAACTAAGGAAGTCACTCTCCTTCTCACTCTCTCTTTTTCTCTCTCTGGCCACCTGCATTCTTGTCCCTCTTTCTCTGTATGTTGGTGGCTTCTGCCACCTCCTATTCTTCTTTTTCTCTCTTCCTCCTTCCCTCATCCCTCCCTGCTCTACAGACCAATTTCCCCAACTTTACTATACACGGTCCAAATAGGGCTCAACTAGACCCCATTCTCATCACTTCTCAGGGATAGTGTGTAACAAAGGCTGGGTCCTCATTCCAAATTCCCAGGAGAAATATTCTTATTAGCCAATGTGGTGTGATAGCCATCAATCAGCTGTGTCCAGAAGGATGGGCGTAGTGGCTCCCATGCTAAATTTATAGGGACAGAAGGGGTGGGATGTGGAAGATGCTCTCAAAAGGAGCCTTTGTGGGATAGGGATGTGTTATTGACTACCATACTCATCCTTAACACCTTGGAGAGATCCAGTGAGCTGGTGATCACATTGGAAGAGTAACCAGAGATGTGACCAAGTTCATGAAGAAAAGGAGTGGGGTGCCTTTTCTTATTGTTGTTATTTGCATGGTTTGAATTACCAATACAGATTCCCAGGGGTTTGGCTTAACCTCATCCACACACCTGGATGGAAGTGGGCACAGCCAAATGCAAGCTGGAAATCTGGTCTGAGCCTTTGCCACTTCTTAAATGCAAACTGGGCACTTTTAAGACCCTTTTCTCTCTTGCCTTTAGGAAGAAACATGAGGTTCCCCCGGAAATCACTCAAGAGGAAGATGGAAAGGGCCATTTAAAATAGATTAGAAGCTGGGCTGCAACACTGGGGCCAGAGGGCTGGCAGTGGAAAACTCTGTTGGGTTGTGATCTCTCACGGAGGAGTTCCAGGTGCTTTTTTGCTTCCTGCAGAACAAAGGAAGAAAAGGAGAAAACCATGTCCATAGCATTGAAGCAGGTGTTCAACAAAGACAAGACCTTCCGGCCCAAGAGGAAATTTGAGCCTGGCACACAGAGGTTTGAGCTCCACAAGAGGGCTCAGGCATCCCTCAACTCGGGCGTGGACCTGAAGGCGGCTGTGCAGCTGCCCAGCGGGGAGGACCAGAACGACTGGGTAGCCGTGCACGTGGTGGACTTCTTCAATCGGATCAACCTCATCTATGGCACCATCTGTGAGTTCTGCACTGAGCGGACCTGCCCTGTGATGTCAGGGGGCCCCAAATATGAGTATCGGTGGCAGGATGACCTCAAGTACAAGAAGCCAACTGCACTGCCAGCTCCCCAGTACATGAACCTTCTTATGGATTGGATCGAGGTCCAGATCAACAATGAAGACATATTTCCAACATGTGTGGGTAAGTCTATCAACAGCTTCTCAGTTATTTTGTCACATCCTACCCAAGCTCAGAGAATTTGCAGAGGCTTCTTCCAGGACTGCCTTTGAAAGTAGATACCACACATTCTCAACGTTTCCCCAAATTCCATCTCCACATACCTTCAGTTTCTTCTCCATATCTAGAAACCTAATTGAAATTTTGAAAAATGTCATTTGTGGGCTACTTACAATAATTTCATGGACCTCAGTCATTAAATCATACATACCACATGCTAGGGAACATTGACTTGGTGAAATGTTAGACTTGATCTTGCTGGCTTCCTTAGGTCTAGACTCCAAATCTACCCAGTCATTCTGGTAAGGTTCTTATTATTTGACTTAATTAACTAGTTAAAGTTACATTATCTCTGGTGCGATTATTGGTATTCATCTTCAGTTTAAGAAATCTTAGCGTGAGAATCTATGGATTGGGGATCAATCGAGCAAGGGGTTGGCACTCTGGAAATATAAAGATCCTGCCATTCTGTTCTTCCTCTCCTGATCCTAATGTACTGTTAACACTGAACCCTTGTGTAGGGTCTAGCAAGACCCACCAGGACACTTGAAATGCAAATGCTTTTGTTTCCCATATGCCACGAATCACAAAACTCTTCAAGGGGAAGGGCCAAACCTTTCCCATCCCTTGGGTTTCTTTATGCTGCTGATCATTAGATTTTTCACACATCGATGGGCTGGATTTAAAATTTCACTGTTTAGGCCCTAAGTTCAATGGGAAAAAGCAGTCTCCCTACTTCCATTGTCATATCTCCAGTGTTTAGCTAGCACAGTGCCCTGAAACCCTGGTAGGCACTCAGGAAATATTTGTGGAATGACTGAAAAAATACTTGTGCTGTTAGGAAGTATTATTAAAAAACTCTGAGATGGTTGGGGTATGAAAGAAGTATTTGAAACACATTGTTGAATTCACCTCTAGTTGGATTGTGAGTCCCCATGTGGCATATGGAAAGATGAGGTGGGGCATATGGAAGTAATTAAGTGAATACCAAAAAAAAAAAAAAAAAAAAAGTGTATAAATTGATTAGGGCAGTGTGTACATCTTGAAATATTCAGCACACAAACCAGTTTGCTCAGAATCATGGTGTTGCCTTGACTTGTCCAGTTCCCTCATGCTCTTACTCTCTGCTGTCCTTTGTTAAGGGAGGAGGTGGGGGTAGTACAAACCCTGACTCACCAGAGGAGGGGGAAGAATGCAAGTTTCTACCCCCCATCCCACCCATAAAATAGGCACCTGCAAGGGGCAGGAATTTCTCAGGTTCTTGCCTTTTTGCACTTTCCTTGACTGTCAGCGGCTTCTTTTGTTGCCAGGAGGAATTTTTCTTTCCCAAAGCTGCTGCTAATGCTCCATGAAGAACACATGAAAACAATAAAGTTAAATAAATCTGGAGACCTCCTCTTTGTCCTTGCCCTTCTGTTCCTGCTCCTTGATGCTTTGAACTCCAGGCACTTCTGCTCTCTCTGGCAGCTGTGGTTACCATGTAGGGTTTGTGACCAGAAGTACGCAGAGCCATGGTGTGTCACTTGAGAGTGAGGCAGCTTCTGGAGGTGGTTTTAGACTTTGTTCAGAGGAAATAGGTGGATGCCACTATGTCCCCAAGAGTAATTGTTTTTGCTATCTTTTTTAGACATTTCTTTAGCCATTCAATGGGATTAGAGACCATACTCACCTAATCAGATTTCTTCCCAATTTATGCTCTGTGATACACTGGTGTTTTGAGAGATCTCATTAGATGTACCATGATTTTTTTTTTTCCACATGGAAAAATAAGTTTGGGAAATGCTGAGTGAAACTGATTTCTTTACTGTGGGACTTGTAATATGCTAATATGCATTATAAATCTCCAAGAAAGGAATAATAATGCTTTTCATTCCCCAGAAACAGTCTGTTTCTTACCTCTGTGGTTTTATCCATGTTGTTTTCTCCTTCTGGAATCACTGTCTTTTCTGTCTAGGGAATTCTCATGCATCCTTTATACCATGTCTTCTTTTACTCATTGAGTGTAAGCCCCTACAGTTATGGGATATGTCTTATTCATTATTCATTTGATTATCCCAGCACTAAGTCCAGCCTTGGTGCCTTAAAAGTTTTTTAATGGGTGGGCGGATGGATGAATGGATGGATGGAAAGAAGGATGGAAAAATAATCTTTACGAAGTCCCAGCATGTCTAGGGTGCTGGTGATCAAAGTGAAATTAAACAAATGTCTCTATCCAGTTATTACCATCCTAAGTATATTGTGCACCTTGCCTCCACATAGTTTAATTTTTTCTGTTTAACTTTTCCAGGGTGAAGTGTTAGGGGCTAGTAAAAACCACCACCATCCACTGTTACCCTGACAGTCTTCATCAGCATCCTGCTCAACTCTATTATTTGTCCTCAGATCATATTTTTGCAATTTTTTGAAATAACACTTTCAGGAACCACTTTCTTTGTTAGAATTCACTTCCTCCTCTTCTTCTTCCCCCTTATTCCAGCCTACCTTTCTTCTTTTTGGTCTTTGTGCTGCCTTGAGTCATCATTATCATGAAGATGATCAAGACATCTGTCAGGGTAAAGTAAAAGAAGAATTCTCAGCAAACAGCAGACCCTGGGTGGATGAGAAATGGAGACTTCTGCTGAGCATTACAGCTTTGAATCCTAGGCATATTTCTGCATTCTTGCTTGGGAATTGGGAGGGGTTCAAACTTCACCTCCTTCCCACTGTGATCCACGGAAATAGAACCGGAAAATACTGACAGATGCGAAGGCTTCACCCTTAGTTAGCTATTAAAGGATATAAACAGCTGTTGATCAGTACCATTGAAACATGGAGGAAAGAAAAGCTTTCATCTGTTCCTAGATTCCAGTTTAACTATGATACCCGTGCTGTTTCAGAAGTTGAGTTTTCTCAGTTGGGAGAATACCAAACAGATGTGGCTCCCTTGTGAACCACAGTCTCCTGCACTTTCCCTTGATCCCCTCCAGCTTCCTTTGTTAAAAAGCCAACAGATGTCCCTGTTAAAGCTCCTAAGAGAGTAGTAACTTCAGAAGCAAGGGCCATCTCCTCTTTGATTGTATCTCTCTCCACTTTCAGAGATAACAACAGAAAAATAGGAAGCCTAGGAAACCACAGCCTTTTTTCTTCTATTGTCTAATTACAATAATTTTTCTGTTCTAGCCCCTCAGCTTCCCTGATTTTCTATTATATAATAGGGTTTAATATCTTAGATTTGACACTCAGGAAAAATGAGTAGAAAACTTAGAGCTCCTCCAACTCATGTTTATGAAAAGTCTTTGAATAGGAGGAATAAGAACATTTAAAAAAAATAATTACATGATCTCACCTACCTTTATGGTTTTAGAATAAATGGGTGTCAGGAAAGGAAAGATCAAGGGAAAGAAGGGAGGGAGGGAACTCGTATTTATTGAGCCTGCTAAGTGCCAGGTGCTATTAATCTTTCTTAATTCTTACAATAACTCAATGAATTAAATATCTCCTTTTACCAGTGAGGAGGCTGACATTTAAACAAGTTAAGGTGCTTTCTGGTTATACAGCCAATAAGTCATTCAGAAGTCAGCATTGTAGCTCAAGAGTGTCTGGCCAAAAATCTGTGCCGTTGTCACCTGCTACCATTCACAGCATGTATTGTTATTTTGTAAATTTTACTTTCCATGTCTAAAGGCTTCAGTGGTTTTGTGAGGTTGTCTAGGGTGGAGAAAAATTTAGAAAAACCGATTTTTGCTATAGTTTTGAAATAAATGATTTTTTTTTGTTTTTGTTGTGTTTTGTTTTTGTTTGCTCCTTTTAAAGAAATTACCTCTGAAATGCCTGAGGAGTTTGCTGGCACTGTAACTGTTCTCATATTTCATTCTAAGATTGGGCAGAGGATGACTTAGCCTCAAGAAAATGCTTTGTGAGCTTACAACTACTTGTTACTGGCATTCATTCATTCATTCGTTCAGTAAATGTTTGTCAAGCACCTGTTTGGAAGCAGGCCTTGTTTTAGGCACCAAGAGAGCAAAGCAGACAGAGTTCATGTCCTTGAGCGGTTTCCCCTAATGTCCAGAATGTCTAGTTGCTCCAAATTGCTCTATACATTTTTCTAAAATGAGTAGTTTGTTCAGTGGTCAAGTGCATTGTGGAAAGAGTTGCACCCCTTTGGCAACCTTTCCCATTGCACTACAGCTGAGTTCACTCTTCTCTCAAAATACTATGGCATGAAATATGAGACTATAAACATGTCCATAGGGCTGAGTTGTTCAGGCATGGGATGTTGGAGAACTGAATTTATAATTAGCCTTTAAATTTTAACTTTCTATTTCCTATTTTATGTTTCCCTCACTTTTTTATTTTGATAGAAATTTATGTAACGTTGATAAGACAGAATGTACATCAACAAACTGTATTTACAGTATGAGAAAACCAGCACTGGGGAGTGTACAGAGACTCAGATATGGGCAACCAGCTCTGCCATTGCCTTTACAGGTGCTCTGTGACTCTGGTAAACACATAACCCCTGAGTCAACATTTCTCTCTTAGTAAACTAAAGATTACAATTCTGATCTCACAGCGATGTTGTAAAGATTAAATGAGGCAGTTGTGAGTAAAAACACCTGGCCCAGAGCCATAAGCACCCCAAAAAAGTGAAGAGGTGGTGAAAAACAAATGCTTTAGTCTCCTCTCTCTGCATACATTTCTACATAACTATTAATCAGAATTCTTGTAAACCACTAGACAATTTCTGAACCATATCCCCAGAAAAATAAAATGTGTTGTAAAGGACTCAACGAGATTTTTAAAAATTATCCACCTTCATTGCTGAATCACTCTGTGACAGGGGTTATAAATACTTCAGGTTTTCATTACTGAAAGACTTTGGCAAATTTTAATGTTACTTTAGGAGCTGGACCAACTCCTAGCTTCAGGGATGAGCACCTCACTCTTTAGAGAAAAAGCCAGGAGGAGTCTTTTTGCTTGTTTTT